TGTCTAGCAGGGCCCCCGAGCGAGCCGACCAGGATCGCTGGTGGCAAGGCCGCTGGAGCTGGAGCGAAGCCCAAAACGACGGCAACTGGAAGTGGGACGACTCCAATGACGGCGGCTGGAGCTGGAAAGAAAGGGGTCGCGACTTTGCGGACCCCGAGCCATGGGCCGGATGGCCAGAATACAAGCGCTATGGCGACGAAAGATCATGAGGTGGCGCCAGAGCACAGACGTCGGCGAGACCAAGGACGCCGACCGCATCTTGAAGGCGTTGCCCAATGACCTCCAGAGGAAGCTAGAGGACATTCCAGATGAGGTCATCATGTCTTGGGAAGGCGCTCAGAAGGTGATCGATCGTCTGGACCTCCTGAGCGGCGAGCGCGTCGGGGACGAGAAGCGCAAGGCCGCGAGGGAGTGCCTCTTCTCCTTCCAGAGACGGCAAGGCGAGGGCCTTACAGAGCACGCCGCGAGAATAGACCTGGCCTTCGACCGAGTCGGCACATTGGGCTTGCCCGTGCCAGAAGACTGGAAGTTCATGTTCTTGGAAGAGGGCGTAGGACTCGACGAGCGTGGCCAGCAGCTGATGAAGGTTCTCATGGCCACGAAGGACTCGTATCCGGACGCTCTCAAGGCCATCCGAGAGATGGACGTCGCAAGAAAGGGGCATCTTGCCCACCAGAGGGCACGAACATATCACACCGATCGAGGAGCAGCGTCGTCGTGGACATCACAATTCACAATGGACGAACAATGAGCCCAGCTACTCCGTGGAGGACGACGAGGATGACTCGATGGTGGATTACGATGACGCCTCGTCCCTCAACACAGAGGGAGAGAATGAGATAGACTTGGCCATGGAGAACCTGAACCTATACGACGACGAGCTTCCGGTGGTATTCGCCAGTACGCAGGAGGACAGACGGAAAACGTGGAAGCAGAACAGGGAGCTCAAGCGGAAAATGAAGGTCGATCGCAGGTTCTTCGACAGGACGAAGGAGACGGTCAAAGTGTCGACCTCACGGGAGAACAGAGGTCATAGAGGAGCAGACGGCATTTTTCGTCTAAGAAAGACCAGGCTTCCGCTCTCAGAGCGCATCAAGAAGACCAGGTGCAGGAAGTGCAACGAGAAGGGCCACTGGGCGCGTGAATGTCCCAAGCGGAATGGCCAGAGTCTCAGAACGAGTGCAACCGCAGGAGGGGTCACGAACGTCACTGGCTTCGTCTTCGCGAACGTGTTGGATCCTGTCGTGTCGGAGACGGAGCAGAACGAGAGGGACCAGGCCGCGCAGGCGATGGTGCTGCTCACGGTGGAGGCCGGCGAGGCAGTAGTGGATACCGCTGCCGGCCAGGGCCTGATTGGGGCCCAGGCTCTTGAGCGGCACTCTCAGAGGCTGAAAAAGCTAGGCCTGAAGATTCCTTTAGTAGAGCCTAGGAGCAGGAATGCCCGGGGAGTAGGAGGTGGCACGAGGGTTTTGCACGCGGCCCTGGTCCCGACCGGAATTCAGGGCAAAGAAGGCATAGTAGAGCTAGACGTTTTGCAGGAAGACGTGCCCCCTTTGCTTCCAGTAGGACTTCAGGAGATGCTAGGTTCCAAGATAGATCTCGACCATAACGTTATGAGTTTAAGGCGCCTGGGCGCGGAGACTCCGATGAGAAGGATGCACAGTGGCCACAGGACAATTCGAATAGACGAGTTTCAATCCCCCCGGAGCTTCAGGTGCCCGGCATCTCTGTTTCAGCAGCATCCAGGACTCAAAGAGAGCGATTTTCAGTGTGACAGCACTGTTGGGGCATACAAGACCTCGGCCATCGTCGATCCTACCTCTCACCTCTTCCACTTATCCTCCTCTCAGAGGGCCGAATCACCCAGCTGCGATGGTCTCCGGGAAAGGTTGGGGCTCGGTCTGGGGGTCTGTCTGGGGGCCAGAGGGTCCCGCGGCGATCTCGACGCGCCGACAAGGGCCAGGGGGTCCGACATAGGCTCAGGGAATCGTTCCGAACACGACGTCGCGATGGGGCATGGCCAGCCTGGATCATCAGCTAAGGGATCCAGACACTCAGGGACGAGACGACGCCAGGGGAGATGTCGCGACGACGCCTTCGGAGCGATGGTGAGCGGGACCCTCCCCCGGAAGAATCTCATCCACATGTGGGTGGTCACATTCATCACAGTATGTATTATGCTACAGCGGTTCGGCTCGAGTTTTCGAGCTTCAGAGAGGAGCGAATTCTGCTCGCAGCAAGGACTACAGCCACGAAGCCCTTCGCGATTCAGAGATGCCCAGTGGCCCCCCAGTCGGCAGTGTCAATGCCGGCCAGCCGCCGGAGAGGAAGAAGAAGCAGCAGACCGAGGCTCAGCGTCGAGCTCAGCGGCCGCTGACTTTGGTCGACCACCTGATGGACCCGAGCTCCACGTGGACGCACGCGGTCACCGGGACGCAAGTCCCGTCCAGCCTGAACCGCAAGGAGAAGGGGTGGGCGGCCATCGTCGGCAGCATCGTGTTCTGGCTCAACAAGCTCGCCGACGAGTTTGGGCGCATGATGCTCGACGAGAGGTTCTGGCCCACGAACCTGATCAGGCGTCTGCGGGTGATCCCAGACGCGTTCTACACGCGACATTTGCCCACCAGCGTCGAGTACGGGTGCAATGGGCATGGACAGTGGTGGGTCTGTTCATCATGCACTATGCGGGTCGCCTACCGCGAGGTCAAGCCCGAGGAGGGAAAGCTGAAGGTCGACGTTTCGTGCGTCTGCAAGCGC